GGGTGTTTTTTGGGGTACCCTCGTGCCGGTTGGCCTGCAGCACACGGGGCAGCAGCCTCTCCTGGGCAGGTTTAGGGGTGTTGGGGGCTGTCAGGAGGGTTCAGGCTGTATCAGGAGAGGGTCGGGCTGTATCAGGCTGTATCGGGGGAGGGTCAAGCTGTATCGGGGGGGTCTGGGTGATTTTTTGGGGTACCCTCATGCCGGTTGGCCTGCAGCACACGGGGCAGCAGCCGCTCCTGGCAGGGTTTGGGGGTGTTGTGGGGTCTCGGGGGGGGTCAGGGGGTGTGGGGGGGGGGTCAGGCTCTATCGGGGTGTTTCAGGGTGTTTTTTGGGGTGTTTTTTGGGGTACCCTCGTTGCCGGTTAGCCTGCAGCACACGGGGCAGCAGCCTCTCCTGGGCGGGTTTGGGGGTGTTGTGGGGTCTCGGGGGGGGTCAGGCGGTATCGGGGAGGGTCAGGCTGTATCGGGGTGTTTTGGGGGGGTCCGGGGGTGTTTTTGGGGTACCCTCATGCCGGTTGGCCTGCAGCACACGGGGCAGCAGCCTCTCCTGGCAGGGTTTGGGGGCTCTCAGGGGGCTCAGGCTGTATCGGGAGGGGGTCGGGCTGTATCGGGGAGGTCCGGGTGATATTTTTGGGGTACCCTCGTGCCGGTTGGCCTGCAGCACACGGGGCAGCAGCCTCTCCTGGCAGTACTTGCGCGTGGTGTCCCGCAGCAGCCGCTCCTCGGAGCTCAGCAGCCCCTCCAGCCCCAGCGGGTCCCGCCAGTCGAACGGGCCGGTGACTGCGGGGGGAAGGGGTTGGGGACAGCCCCGGGGAGGGGGGGTCAGCACCGGGGACACTCCTTGGAGCGGGGGTCTCGGTCCGTCCCCTCCCCCGACTCACCCTGCGCATGGGGGGGCCCGGTGCTCGCCCACCGGACACCGCTCCGGGCCAGGCGCAACACGGGGGTGGCCAAACGCAGCGCCATGTGGGGGGCTGGGGGGACACAGGAGGGTCAGCGACCCCCGATTGTCACCCGGGGATCTCCACACACCCACCGGCCATCCCAGATATCCCCCAGGAACCCCCA